GGTTGGTGGTTCTAAGCTCACCAGCTGCTCCTCAGAAACACTATACATGGTTGCTATGGGTTGGAACTGACTTGACAACACTTAACAACAATACTACCCCTTTATATACAAAGGAGCTTCCAAGAGTTTATGGGAAAATTCCCTTACCTTGTAACTCCACTTTCCCATGAACTTTTTGAAGCCCCCTCGTACATAGTCATACAGAGTCTGAGTAATCTCGCTGTGACAGGGGTGAGTGAGCCCATCTAAGTTTCCAGGGGGTGGGGGAGCAAGGAGGGGGGAAATTCTGTTTGTTTAGAGAGTCAAATGAGAGATTTAATGATGGGTCTCAGATGTGCACCCATCTCCTGGCAAAGTGGTGAGGCCTTCCTTTACTTAGGGGTCTCTGGGTGGTCTAAATGGCTAGGTGGGTGGCTACTAACCAAAACATGGGCAGTTTAAACCCATCCAGCCGGGTCTTTGAATCCACCAGCCGTTCCTCGGGAGAAAGATGAGGATTTCTGCTCTTGTAAAGATTTTCAGCTTTGGAAACCTTACACAGGGTCACTGTGAGTTGGAAGTGACTCGACAGCACACAACAACAAGAGGCACCTTGGAAGAAAGGCCTGGTGATGGTCAGATAGGTCACAGTCATGAAAACCCGGAGGAGTACAGTTCTATTCCGCATACATGGGGTCTCCATGAGTGGGGTTCGACTAGACAACAGGCAGCTGAGTCTGAAGAGGCACACACCTGCGCACACACATACACAACACATACACCTGCACACCTACACACCTGCACACGATGTGGAGCTCCTGCTGTCTGCAGGAACCACTACCCTCTGCTCTGCCCAGGCAGAGTCTCTGTTACATAAATATTGCTATGGTGTATTTTAAAAGACTGTCTTCAAATGGAGATTCGGGCCCAGGCCTTGTCAGCCCTCTGTCTTCAAGTTCATCTTCCTTCTTGTTATTTCTCACCGTTCTCTGTCTTCAAGCCACAAAGTTGCTAGCATCTGGCCTGGTCTTCAGTGCAATGCAACAACATTGGGTTCTGGCTATGGAGGAAGGAGAAATGTGCACATTCACACGCACACACATGCACACATTTGCACACCTATACATGCACACACATACACAATATGTACATACACATATATATCTGATAACATGTACACACATCTGCTTCCAAACACATACACATGTGTGCAGCCAGGAAGACACACTATGAGGCTGTGCTCCTCCGGCTTGTGAGAGCTGGAAGGCAGGTGGTGAGGGAGTCTGTTACCACCTGTTCCTTTGATTGTAAACAATGGACAAGGTTCAGGGTGTGCCTTCCCCGCACGCAAGTGCACGCATACTCCTTTTCTCCTCACACTCAGAAGTCACCTCCAGCAGTTCAAGATGGAATCCCATGCCTTTGATTAGCCATGTACTATTTCGCCCATCAATGATTTATAGGACACCCACTATGTGCAGAGGTTCCAGAGGTTCAAGCCAGATTCAGAAAAGGATGTGGAACGAGGGATATCATTACTAATGTCTGATGGATCTTGGCTGAAAGCAGAGGATATCAGAAAGATGTTTACCTGTGCTTTATTGACTATACAAAGGCTTTCGATTGTGTGGATCATGACAAGCTATGGGTAACATTGCAAAGTATGAGTATTCCGGAACACTTAATTGACCTCATGAGGAATCTGTACAAAGACCAAGAGGCAGTTTGAACAGAACAAGGGAATTCTGAATAGTTTAAAATTAAGAAAAGTGTGTGACAGGGTTGTATTCTTTTACCATACTTATTCAATCTGTATGCTGAGCAAATAATCTGAGAAGCTGGGTTATATGAAGAAAAACGTGGCATCAAGATTGGGGGAAGACTCATTAACCACCTGTGATATGCAGATGATACAACCTTGCTTGCTGAAAGTGAAGAGGACTTAAAATATTTACTGGTGAAGATCAAAGAGCACTGCCTTTGGTATGGATTGCATCTCAATGTAAAGAAAACAAAAATCCTCACCACTGGATCAATAAACAACATTCTTATCAACGGAGAAAAGATTGAAGTTGTCAAGGACTTAATTCTTCTTGGATCAACTATCAACATTCATGGAAGCAGCAGTCAAGAAATAAAACGACATATTGCATTAGGCAAATCTGCTGCATAAGACCTTTTTAAAGTGTTGAAGAGCAAAGATGTCAGCTTGAGGACTGAGGTGTGCCTGACCCAAGCCATGGTATTTTCAATAACCTCATATGCATACGAAATCTAGACAGTGAATAAGGAAGACCATAGGAGATTTGATGTATTTGAATTATGGTGTTGGAAGAGAATACTGAAAGTACCATGGGCTGCCAAAAGAACCAACAGATCTGTGTTGGAAGAAGTGCAGCCAGAGTGCTCCTTGGAGGCCAGGAAGACCAATCTTCATCTCTCATACTTTGCACATATTGTTAGGAGGGACCAGTCACTCCTGACAATATGTTTGGTAAGGTGGAGGGTCAGAGAAAAAGAGGAAGACCCCCAGCAAGATGGACTGGCAAAGTGGCAGCATCAATGGGCTCAAGTGTGCAACATTTGTGAGGTTGACCCAGGACCGGGAAATGTTTCGTTCTGTTGTGCATAGGGTCACTATGAGTCAGTACCGACTTGATGGCACGTAACAACGACAACTATGTGCAGGTGGACAAAACCCCAAACTAAACCCACTGCCTTTCAGTAGATTCTGACTCCCAGTGACCCCACAACACAGAGGAGAACTGCCCTGTAGGATTTCAAAGGCTGAATTTTTATGGAAGCAGACTGCACGTCCTTCTCTCACCAAGTGGCTGGAGGTTTTGAATCACCCATCTTCCGGTTAGCAGCTGAGCACTAACTGCTGTGTCTCCAAGGCTTGTTCACCTTACCAAGGATACAGAGGTGACTCAGGGTCCCACTAATCCCTCTTGATCACCCTGTGGCCCCAGCCATCTGTCAGAACCACTGTGCTCATGCTCTCTTGAGGTCCTTTAAGTACCAAGCTTTGCAGTCTTCTTGTTGTTATGAAAAATAACATTTCTCAGTAATGAGCATGTCCACACCCAGATCTTGGTTTCTTCCTCTCATTCACCAATAAAAGGCACCACACCTTAGAGAACTGAGTGATTCTAGGGCTAGGGTAGAAAAATCACAAGATAGGCCTGGGAAGTTAGGGACATAGGGAGACAAGGTTCCAATCACCAACGCTGGAACTAGTTAAACAGCTAAATAAATAACATAGAATTAGATTCTCACTCCGAGAATAGATGTTTACATGAGTCCGTAGTGCTAGAACTCAATGATGGAATGAATATATAAATGAAGAAAAAGGGACTTCTTTACAAAAGAACCGAAAAGAACGAGGTGTCACTAACTCCTGGGTGTGGCTGGACTTTGGGATTCACTTCTGAAAAGGAAAGTGTAGAAAGAGAACATTTCCCAGGCATTTTAGCAATCCTGGTGTGGCACTGTAGGATAAGCACTAGACCATAATGTCGGTTTGAAACATAAGGTCAGTGGTTCAAACTCAACAGCTACTCCTAGGAAAACCTCTACAGGGTTGTTATGAGTCAGATCGGATGGACTCAACAGCATTTAAAAACAACAACAACAATCTTGGCCGACACCACCTTAACCAAGTAATGAAGGCCAACCTCACCAGCGATGTCATGTGGACATCATGTGCCCCTGATGTAATGAGAATGAAGCTTCTCTGTCACCTATTCTCCCAAACCTCAGAACCCCAGTGGAATCAAGACAAAATATTAGACAAATCCAAATCTAGGACCTCCTGGAGAAGGATATAATGCTTGGTAGAGGGTCAGGGAAAAAGAGAAAGACCCCAATGAGATGGATTGGCACAGTGGCAGCAGCAATGGGCTCAAGCTTACCAACAATTGTGAGGATGGGGCAGGATTGGGCAGTGTTTTCTTCTGTTGTGTATAGGGTCACTATGAGTCAGAACTAACTGGACAGCGCCAAACAACAACACAAAATACCTTTGAAGTCTTAGTGTAACGTGGGAGGATAAGTAGTGGACTGTTAACCACAGGGTCCATGGTTCAAACCCACCAGCTGTTCCTCAGAAACTCCATACAGGGTCACTATGAGTCAGAACTGACTTGACAGCACTTAACACCTAACAAAATGTCTAACAAGTAGTTCTCAAGACTGACAAGGTCATGGGAAACAAGGTGAGACTGAGAAACCCGAGAGGCGGTTACATGTAGTGGGGTACTCTGAATGGAATCCTGGGACAGAGGAAAAGGCCATCAGTGGAACCCTGAACTTTCCTTAGTAGGAATGTGCCGATGTAGGATGGGAGATGGTTCCCTGGTAGAATCCTTACCTTCTACATGGAAGTCCCAAGTTCAAGTTCATCCAATGTAGCTCATGCCACGCTACTACCTGTCTGACAGTGGAGGCTAGAAAAGATTTCAGCAGAGCATCCAGACTACAAACAAAGGCCTGACTACCATCGATGATGGGGATGGGATGGTGCTGGAGTTGTCTGGGGTGCATGGGGGCCCACCATCAAATTCCACCCTAGGATTCTTGGCTCCAAATCCTAGTTTGTCCACTGCCTGGCTCTCCTAACAGTCTCCTCAGCCATTAGTGACCGCAGCTCATGGACAGGAATGCTTAGGTGAGGAGATCTGCTCAAAGTCACACGAGCTCATAAGGGGCAAAGCTGGCTCTGGACTCTGGGTTCCAGCGTCTAGTCTCTGGACACTGTGCTTCTGAACAGACCAGCCCTCACTTCTGATCCCAGGTGCAACTTGCAAATCTCCACTAGGTTAGCCAGAAAGTTCCACCTGCAGCAAGAAATGACCCCTGGACCTTTGTTTTTGCCACATTTATTTTGGTTTATATATTTATATATATATATATATAATTTTTCTTGACAGGAAGAAAGGGAGAAATGACTCTTTTATTTTACGTTTCTGACTTTTCCAGCTTTATGTAGTCACGTAGTGAGCCGGCATTGGGGAGGCTGCTCAGGTGTAGCCCACAAGGCGTGGGGTGCTGGGGAAGGTTTTGCGCATGCCCATACACTTCTCCTTGTCGATGCACAGCGTATTGGCCTTGATGGCGAGTTCGTGCTCCAACCGGGACTTGGTCATCACCAGCAGCTGCAGTGTGTCCTGTGTCTCCCGCAGCCTCAGCTTCAGGGTCTGCAGAGTGTCGTCGATGGTGAACACCTCGTTCACGAGCCTGGGTGGGGGCAGAGGGGTGGTCACAGCTTGTTCAATTCTTAGACACAGCGGCACCCACCATATCCTGGGATCTGTGCCAGGCACCAGGAGGCAGTGGGGAGCCAGACAGCCCACCCAGGGAGGAGACAGTGAGGTGATTCTAAGAGCTCACTAAGGTCTCTAAGTGGTTGAACTGGTTTAACATGCTTGCCTGCTAACTGAAAGGTGAGAGATTCAAGTTCACCCAGAGGCACCTCAGAAGAAAAGCCTGGCGACCTGCTTCCAAAAACCCTAGCTGTTGAAATCCCTCAAAGCCCAGGTCTGCTGTGACACACAGGAGGTCACCATGAGTCGTAACCAGCTTGATGGCACCTGGTGTTTGAGTGTTCACCAAGGAGAACTGTACAGTCAAGGACATGGGAGAGTGGGGCAGGCATGAGCTGGGTGCCTCCTTCAGGGAGCCTGGAGGAAAGGTGAAGCTGTCAGAGACAAAGGCTACATCTCAGCCTGGGAGCCTTTCTGTCTTTGATTCTGAGGGCCCCACTACAGAACTGCTCCCCTTGTAGACAGCAGTGCAGAGAGGGGTCAGTCTTCCCACTGATGGAAAGTCAGCCAGAGGTACAGCAGGCCTGGACCTTGAACTCTAGACCTCCCGCCCACTCAGGGCTCGGTGGAGTTGTAGGATTGGATGTCCTGAGAGATGGAGTTCCTGATAATCCCTCACTTCTCTGGACCCCTGGGGACACTGGCACTCACTTGAACTGTGGGATGTCCCTGCACAGCTCCACATTGGGGCGTCGGGTCCGGCATTCCAGTCTGGTCTGCGCTACCTTCAGTGGGCACTCCTTGGCCATAATGGCTCGTTCCAACAGCATGATGGTGTTCTCCGCCTGAAAGATCTCCTGAAGCGTCTGCGGGGACACAGGGGGTGTTACCTCCCTCCAGGCCCCTCCAGCCTCACCCAACAAACTTGAGGTCAGTGAGTTCAACCTGCAGTCAGATGCTTAAACTACATGACCCTCAACCTTAAGCACCTACAGGGACCGGCAGCTCATTCTTCCAGCTTCAGTCATCTCTGAACACTGGGGGAGGAGAGAGCCAAGGATCACTTAGTGTTTCCTATCTCCAGTATCCTGGTGTGGCGCTGTAGGATCAGCACTGGACTATAAACTACAAGGTTGGTAGTTTAAATCCACCAGCTGCTCCTAGGAAACTGTATAGGGTCGATATGAGTCAGAACCAACTTGACGACACTTAGCAATAACAATCCACTGTTGGGATTAGTCTGACCAAAAATTAGTGTTCAGTGAGGAGAAGGTGTACTGCAGCCAGGGATGCAGGGTGGAAGGAAGGAATAAAGGAAAGATTTTTAAAATGAATACAAATAATCCAAAACAATGGTTAATTTAAAATGTCAATTTCATCTTTTTTACAACTCAGAGTTTACTTTCCTAATTAGACCACTAAGAAGTCAGTAAATAAGCTAGGAAGAAAAGGGAAGGAGGGAGAGAGAAAGGAAGGCAGGCAACATTTTCTATTTATCTGCAGAAATAGTTTTCCCAGTATCATATCACCATGTGCCTGGGTGGTTAACAAGCTTTAACATGCTTAACTGCTAACTAAAAGGTTGAAGGTTCGCGTCTACCCCAAGGTATCTTGGAAGAAAGGTCTAACAGTCTCCTTCAGCCATTGAAAATCCTCTGACACACATGGGGTCACCATGAGCCAGAGCTGACTTGACAGCAATTGCTTTGTTTCTTCAGTTGAGCCTGCAGTTTATGAAAGTTCAAGTCCCAGGAGGGAACAGGAGGGAGCCTGCCAGGGACTGGGAATGCTCAGAACGATCCTGATTGGGATGGAGGTTTCGTACACGTATGCAAAGACAAAAATGCATCAGGCTGTATACTTTAGGGTAAGACCATTATACTTCAACAGAGCATGAGAAAATAAAACAAAAGCCAGGAAAAAAGTCATTCCCAAGAAAGGATGAGCTAAACGTTGATCTTTGTATTAAGTACATGGGGGAAGGGATCTCTTATATGACTCTCTCTTCTTTTATGTGTTTGGAGATTTACATAATAAAAAATAAAACAAGGAATAAAGAACAAGCCCACAAGCAAAGTCTCTTATCAGAAGGAGCCTGATTATTTTGCATTTAGCCAACCACAAACACACCCAGAAATGAGAGACTGGGACAAAACATTTCAGAGCCTGTAGACTTCAGCTGTCTGTGGTTCAAACACATCCCTTCTCCATCCTTACATTGTCCCGCTCCTAAGTCCATGAGCAGGTCTCTTTTTCATGGTTTTTTTTGGTAGGACCCAAATGACAAGGGTACCTGTGCTCTGCTCCTCACAAATCCCTAGTAGGATACCTCTGCCACAATGCCCCCCAATACCCAGAAGGGTTTGCCAGAGAGAACTCGGTTTCATTTGCCCAGGGATTCAGTTCCACTTAGAGGGCTCACTCACCAGCTCCACCAATAACTTCTCAACAGAACTTGCTCTCCTGTCTAAAGGCATTGGCTTTGTGAGTGAGCCCGCCATATTGAAATAAGGTGACAACCAATAATAAGCGCCTCCTCTCATTTCTACCCAATCAGTGTAGAATTATCCACTTCCATGCAGGAAACCCAAGTTCCAGCCATCTGTCATTGGAGATTTGCATATTGTTAGGATGATGAGCAGGTTTCAGGGAAGTTTCAGGCTAAGACACACTAGGCCTGATGATCTGTTTTCAAAATAGATCGTTTTCAAGGAAAACCTATAGCTAACAGTGGTCCAATTCACAACTGATCCCAGGGATGGTGAAGAACTGGGCAGTGGTTTGTTCTGTTGTGCATAGGGTCACCATTAGTTGGTGTCTCTTTGACAGCAACAAACAATGACAACCTTTTCAGTATACTAAATAATGTATATAATTCTAAGAAACTGCTAGTGAAACCCCACTCAGGGAAGAATGGGGAGGGGGGTGCATTTTTAAAATGTAGGAATCTGTTTAAAAAGAGAGACTCAGAGAGAAGGAAGAGAGATCATTTCAAGATGTACATCACGAAGTATTATCTATTCTCTAATAATCAAATATCAGTCTCAACTCATCAGAAATGAAAAAGAAAGAAGTAAATCAAAGACTATAAGAAGAAAAGGTCAAGGCTTATAACCTTACATGAACCCAGGCTTCATCTCTCCAGAGACCAGAAGAACTAGATGGTGCCCGGCTACCACTGACCATCCTGACTCAATAGATGGTCCCAGATAGAAGGCAGGAAAAATATAGAAAAAAACTTGGATTAAAAAAAAAAATGTCAAACTTACTGGACTGGTTGAGATTGTTCTATGAAAAAAAAAAAAAAACATCTGATCACTGTGTTACCTGAATGTGGGGTTGTCCAGGAAGCCAATTCAGCCCTATTCAGTGACTAGACGGAAAACAGTTGGATCACTTATGCAGCACAAGTGAGAAAGGCATAGTGTTTCAGCACGCTCTAAATATCTGCTTTAAATGTCTGACATAACACAAAGTTTACAGTATGTTTTGTAAAGGCTAACAGTCCTGTCTACACATTCTATTTCCAAGCACAGGGAACAAAGGAACAAAGAAAGCTCATTTAATTTTCTCTAGGGAATCCTATACAGGGTCACTATGAGTCAGGACCAACTCGATGGCACTTAACAACAACTGCTATCTAGCAAAAGTTTCTACTTCCTCTCTAAGTTTTATCTTTGTTGTTAAGTGCCGTCCAGTTGATTCTAACTCATAGCGACCCTGTATAGGGTTTCCAAGGAGCAGCTGGTGAGCTTGAACCGCCGACCTTACAGTTCAAACGGCTTTGCAGTCTGGTGCATTACCCCACAGCACCACATCTTTAGCCCAGGTAAATCTACTTCTTCTTCAAGGCTGACTTCTTTTGGAATGCTCTATGTTAGGTTGTAGGATCCTCAGCTCCTGGGACTGGGGGTTTTGGGTTATTTTAATCGTTTTTACACACTGAGTTGTTAGAGATTTAAGTGAGCATAAAAACTCTGGTGGGTCAGGGGGAGAGGGCATAGAAAGATATCCGAGGAAGGACATTTTTCCATGTGAGCATTTGTCTTGTGCACAATTATGACAGTTGGTACGTTTTTTTCTGTGTTCAAGTTTCCTGTGGGCTTTTTCCTAGTTGTCAGTAGAAACTAGAAGAACCTGGGAGACTATTGCCCTGTTCTTGTTAGGTGTAATAAGTCAGTACCGACTCATAGCGACCCTACGCACAACAGAACGAAACAGTGCCCAGTCCTACACAATCATTGCTATGCCCTAGCCCATTGCTGCCACCACTGTGCCAATCCATCTGGTTGGGGCTCTTCCTCTTTTTCTCTGACCCTCCACTTTACCAAACAAGATAGCCTTCTCCAGGGACTGGTCCCTCCTGATAATAGCTGAAGTATGAGAGACCAAGTCTGGCCATGACTTCCAATGAGCACATCTGTTTGTTTCTCTGTCAGTCCATGGAACTTTTAATACTCTCCTCCAACACCATAATTCAAATGCATCAATTCTTCTA